GCATATATAATATATATATATGTGTATATATATATATATATATATATATATATACACACACACACACACACACACATTTTCTTTATGAATTCACCAGTGATAGACACTTAGGCCGAGTCAATATTTTTAGCTATTGTGAATAGTGGTGCAGTAGATATAGGTGCACAAGAATGTTGATATATGTCCAAATAAATTTCCAGTAGTCATATAGCAAGATAATATGGCAGTATTTCTTTTTTTTTAAGTTTTTTTGGGGGAATTTCCATATTACATTACATAGTAGCTATAATAGTTACCTTTTACAAACAATGTATATGATTTTCTTTTCCCCAACGTTACTACCAGCATTTGTTGATTTTGTTCTCAGCTATGAATCCACTCTAGGATTCTGATTACAGTGAGATGAAATCTCACTGATATTTTTTGTTTTTTGTTTTCGTTTTTGCCAGTCCTGGGACTTAAACTCAGGACCTGGGTGCTGTCCCTGAGCTTCTTTTGCTCAAGGCTAGCACTCTACCACTTGAGCCACAGCATCACTTCTGGATTTTTCTGTGTATGTGGTGCTGAGGAAATTAAACCCAGGGCTTCATGCATGCGAGGCATGCAGTCTACCACTAGGCCACCTTCCCAGACCTCACTGATGGTTTTTGTGTGTGTGCTTGTACAGAGATTGATTTCAGGGCCTGGGTACTGTACCTTCTCTATTTTGATCAAGACTGAACACTTTACCACTTGAGCCACATGTCCACTTCTAGGTTTTTGCTGGTTAATTGGAGATAAAAGTCTCATGGATGGCTTTGAACTGGGATCTACAAATCTCAGCCTCCATGTGTTCAGTCTCCATGTGTTACAGGACTTTCTTTGGTGGCTTTTGGTGTTGAGTTCTAATTTTATTCCCTTGGGGTCTGACAGAATGCAGGGCATAACTTCAATGTTTCTGAATTTGGACAAGTTTGCTTTGTGGCCTAAAATGTGTTCTATTTTGGAAAATGTTCTGTGTGCTGCTGAGAAAAATGTGTATTCTGATGCTGCTGGATGAAATATTCAGTAGATGTCTGTTAAATCTAGTTGATCTATGCAGTTGTTTAGATCTGGGGTTTCTCTGTTGAGTTTTTGCCGAGTTTTTCTATCTAGTGAGGATAGTGGTGTGTTAAAGTCCCCAACAATTAATGTCTTTGTGAGACTTGAGGGAAAGTAGTGTTTCTTGGATGAATTTGGGTGCTCCGTTGTTTGATGGATAGATATTTAGAATTGTAATATCCTCCTGAAGGAGAGATCCTTTAATTAGTATGTAGCTTCCTTCTTTATCTCTTCTAAGTAATTTTAATTTGAAGTTTATTTTATCTGATATGAGGATTGCAACTCCTGCCTGTTTGTGGGGGCCATTTGCTTGGTAGATTTTATTCTAGCCTTTCAATTTCAGAATATGTTTGTTTTTATGGGCCAGGTGTGACTCTTGAAGGCAGCAGATAGAAGGATCTTGCTTTTTAATCCAACTAGACAGTCTATGTCCCTTAATTGGAGAGTTAAGTCCATTAATGTTGAGAGTTAGGACTGAGAGGTGTTTGGTACTTCCTGCCATGTTATTCACCTTCTTGGGGGTTGTGACAACTGCGTCTTTCCTATGGTTCCGGGATTCTCAGTTTGGGTGCGGTTTCTTGGATATTTGACATTGTTAATCTTATTTGCATGGGTTCCTTGTATTTTTTTCAATCTGCATGATTATAATTTTTTAAGGTTGAGAATATTTTTGAATAATGCACCTTCAAATAATTTGTATGCATCCATTCCCTTTTCTGGATTACAGTTATGTGTATGTTATAGGCATTTTCCATGGGTCTCCGAAACGTTGTTCAATTTTTCAACTTTTTTGTTCTCTGAATTTCAATTATATACTATTGTACTATTTTGTCTTTCAATTGACGGGCAATCTTTTTGCAATATCTACTATACTTTTGCCATTGCCGTAAGTTAATGGTTATTGACACTTAGAGATAATGTACTTTTCTACTCTGAGAGGTTTAATTTCTATTTATTTTCCTTCAAAGTTTTCTTTAACAGTCAGTGTTATGTATTTTATTTAAATTCGTGTATATAGTAGACATACTTGTAATAGGTGCTTAAAGTCTCATCCTATTAGTTCTATATTTCTTTTATTCCTAATTACATTTTATCTACTGATGTTTCTAGTGATTACAAGTTTACCTTTTATGATTTCATTTATCTAGTAATTTTTATGAATGCTTTTTAAAATCCTAAAATATATCAGCACAGTTACTGCTTTTTATTTCAAAGATAAACAAGAGGTTAGAAATGTGATTCGAAAGCATATTCTTTCAGTGTCGACATCTGCATAGTAACACCATGGTTCCTAAGTATGTAGTAATTTCTGGTTTGACACTGAAAGTGATCAATATGACACAATAGAATGTTATTTTTCTTATTACTGGGCATTAAATTTCATTTTCCTGCAAAGTTTATTTACTTTCAAATCAGCTACATTTTTGAGCCATTTCCAAAGCCATTTCCAAGTAGCTATCTATGTGCTAGCATAAGTTGAACTTTGTTTCTTATATGTAGCCTTTCTGAGTTGAAATCATGTTTACAAAAATCTCACTACTCTAATTATATATAACTAGCATCTCTTCTTGAACTCTACGACTTAACGAAGTTCAGATGTGTAGATAGTTGCTCTTACTCAAAACTTCTTTGCATAGTTACATCTTCCTTTCAGAAGCTGAATATTCAGCTGCTGGGGTTCCTACAAATAAATCCCTTTGTAGGTTTTTTTAAAACTATTTTTCTGTGGGGTTCACTCTTTTCTAAGGGTTGCCTTCATCAATTAAGATTCCATTCTGTGTTCCCACCTCAATAAAGCCTTCTTTATTTCTACTCTGCTAGGTTCCATTTCCTGTGGTTGGGATAGATGAAAAGGACAAATGTCAGTCTAGTGAGAAAATTAAGCAGTTTTAGATATCAGATCACTTCTTTTCCTTCCCTTTTGAATCACAGGTCTCTATTATCAACTATCCAATGCTTGAGAATAATTATTTGTGCATTGTCTGTTTGTTCATGGTGGGCAAGCTAGAGTTGTTCCAGTTATTCAATCAGAGCCAGAAGTACTGCTTCTGAGGACACATTTTTTTAAGCTAGTAAACTGAAACAACGACAACAAAAACTAGTAAATACCACTTGCCTAAAGTACTGATCTTTCATGTAGGTAACTTTAAAACCAATAAATTTTGTAGATTTGCATGTACAAGTCTGTGTTTTCAGGGGAATAGTAAAAGCCAAATATCTGAATTGAGTCTAAATGTCATATTCTAGTAACCTCAGTATGTGTTTTAGGTATTTTTATTACAGATTTTCAGAAAATATTTCTTTATAATTGTGCCCTGAAAATGTGTTGAAATAAAAGGTGATAAAATAAGTTTGTATTGATACTGTATAAACCTCATTCCAAAAGATCTCTCAAAATACTTAATATACTTTAGGGAAATATAAGGAAACACTTGGGATTTTTTTAGGGAAAAATCATTAGTTTTTATCAAGAACATTTGTTTGTGGGAAGTAACACCTATTTTTTTTTGTCATTCCTGGGACCTGAACTCGGCCTGGGTGCTGTCCCTCAGCTCTTCAGCTAGTTCTTCAAGGCTAGCACCAATTCCAGCTTTTTCTGCCTATGTGGTGCTGAGGAATGGAACCCAGGGTCTCATGCAAGCAAGGCAAGCACTCTATCACGAGCCAACTTCCCAGCCCCAGTAATAACTATTTTTTAAAATGTTGAATTTTCTGTCAATATATTTCCCCTTCAGATTTAAAATTCAAACTAAATACTAATATTTAGGTATTTTTCACAAATCTGAGAATGCATAATTGCTTAATATGTCAGTAAAATATTATTAAATTTAATATCAAGTTCTTGATAAAATATCATTTGGTACATGTTAAATTCATGCAAATTTTAATAATTTGATTACCATATTGTTCATTTTAGTGGAACCTCAAATACCAGAAAGTCTTTTAGTGGTCACTAAATATGTTAATAGATAATTAGCACAGTAAACTATACAAGCAAAAATAATAAATGCAAAAAAAAACCCTCTAACTTCTGATATTTCTGCTTATTCATTCATCTTTACTCACCTTTTCCTTCTCATTGTTTAGAAATCATATGATTTTTAAAAGTTTTCAATAAAATCCTTTTGAAATTTTTAATAAAATAGTCTGTGTTTTACAAAGAGAATAAAATTATACAGGAGAGGGTCAATATTTAACTTATTTGCCTTTGGAAGAAAGTAAGAAGGAATCTTTAAAGTATTACTCATGTGATACCACTCTCATATCATGAATTGTGTTTCAGTATATTAGTGATCAGGTCATAATAGACAGTAAAATATATGAACAGAGTTATTCTGAAAATCCTGTATATACATGGATGTTTATAGGTGAAGAAAACGTTTTTTTTACTGTTTTTATAATAAGCTGCACAGGAGAAATAACCTTGGGTCTATTTTAAAAATTAACTTATCTTTCAGTTATTTTGTGATATATACATCAGTGCTCATTTGGTCTTCTAGTTAACATGATGTTCAATGATCCCTTCTCACGTGCACACTTTTCTGGATGGACAAAAGACAAACAGCATGCGTTACACAAAGGGCCAGCCTCTACAGTGTTCATAGAATCATTGACTAAATAACACAGATACACAGACTGGGGACAATAAAGACTAAATGAATAAGGACCAAAATAAGGAGTACAGATGTCAAGTGTCCAAGGAGGCTGGAAGAGGCAAAGATAAATGTGGCTGCTAAATTGTGAGCAGCATCAGGACAACTGGTAGCATTATCCATATTTTTTTATATTAGGGTATGTTGCCTCATTTAGAAATGTTCATTTAGAAATGTATGATTCCTTTTAACAAACCAATATGAAGTTGATATTGATAAATGCTGCCAACTTGTTGATACTTACAAAATCTTTAAATTTCTGTATAGTTCTCCGAGACACAGGCAAACGGTCTATTAATAGTGACTGGAAGATTGAACACTCTGGAGCATTCAATTTAGCAGGAACTACCATCCATTATATAAGAAGAGGCCTATGGGAGAAGATATCCGCCAGAGGTCCTACTACAACACCTTTACACCTTCTGGTATGAGGGAAATAATTAATGATATTGTCTAATTTCTCAAAAAAGATGTTCTGACTATTCCCTGTCTAATATTTGCTGTATATTTCAATTGTCAAAATGATATTTAAGATAATTTAAGAAGTGAGTTTGGGGATGTATTAAAGTATGTTTTAAATTAATTATTACAAGTAGAACAAAGAAGAGATGTATTACCAATGAATGAGGAAGTTTTCTTTTCCTGAAAGCATTTGTCAATTAACCAGAATGCTTGTCTAAAAAAGTGATATAGTATGGCAAATAATGGCACTGTATGTATCTTTAGCATGGACCTATCTGAGTTGTGTAAAATGTCTCTGATAGTGTTATTTTATCGAAGAAAGGAATGTGTAAATGTATCCAACAGAGATCCCAATTTCCCCATCCTATTCTCTCATCTTTATTAATGGAGTCCTGTAAAGAATTGTGGAAATTTAGAATGTTTGCAATTATAACATTTTTGCCAAGTAGTAAAAGATTATTTTTCATTCTAATTTGAAGGAAAAGTATTAGAATGAGATTCTGCAGTCTGGAAGCAGCTCCATGGGTATGGAGTGAATGGAACAGGTAGTTGGTGCCAATCCCACAGAGAACAAGAGACTGACCATACAACTAGAGAAAGTCTAAAATACAAATACTGCACTACTTCTGACCTAAAGCTCTGAGAATGGCTAATAATTTGACGTGTGACATGTCACAAGTTTTAGTATCTCTGCATAATTTAAATTTAAATTATCTGCACCTGGTGACATCTGTGTTGTTAGTCTGTAGTAGGTGATCCACCTACCATAATATCCCAGGATAAGGGTGCACTAACTAGGTTCTAGTAATGAAAAATAATTTGACCTATTGTTCTGGAGCAGAACCTAAGATTTACTTTTTTAATCAGCTTCTACCTCAATCCAGTGGTCCACTGAAATCAGTGTAAATCACAGTGTTCTACATTACAAGAATAAAGGTATCTTCTGTTTGTGTATTTTCTGTTTTAACCTAAAAATGAAGACAAAGCTAGGTGCTAGCAGCTCATATTTGTAATCCTAGCTACTAAAGAGGCTGAGATCTGAGGATAGTGGTTTGAAGGCAGCTCAGGCAGAAAAGTCTGTGAGACTCTTATCTTCAATTAACCAGAAAAAAAAAAAACAGAAATAGAGGTATGGCTCAGTAGAATACCAGTGCAGAATGTAAAAACTAAGCAAGAACACCAATACAAGCACAAAAATAATGTTCTACATATGAATGAAATGTCAACTGAATATCTAGCAAAGGTTTTCTCCAACTATGTTGTCTCTTCAGTTTTTTATTTTGCTGTGCAGAAGTTTATGGATTTGATGCAGTCTCTCAGGAATTCTTTTTTTTTCTGACTCTTTATTTCCAGCCATTGGACTCTTATTTGAAAAGTCATTGCCTAGAACTAGGTCTTGAATTACTTGTCATTAATTTTTCCTATATTAATTGTATTTTTTTATTGTGAGACTACCATACAGAGGAGTTACAATTACATGGGCAACCCTATATTAATTTTAAAGTTTCAGATCTTAGATTTGTCTTTAATCCATTTTGAGGTTTGTTTTTTATTTTTAAAAAAGATGAGAGATAAAGATCTAAGATCAGTCTTCTCCATGTAGATACCCAGTTTTCCCTGCACCACATGTAAGAGAGGCTGTGGTTTTACCATCCTATGTTTTTGGTACCTTTGTCAAAAATCAAACAAATATAGCTATTTAGTCTCACTTCTGGATCTTCTATTCTACTATCCTGTTTCTTTTATGCAAGTAACATAATGTTTTTGTTACTGTGTTCTGCAGCATTAATCTGTTTGCTTATGGCTTCATGACTATTCAGGGTCTTCTGTGTTTCCATATGAATTTAGATATTCTTCCAAATTTTCCAAAGAATATCCTCAAATTTTTAATGGCAATTGCATTGACAACTGCATAGCTTTTTAAAATGTGGACAGTTAAGCAATATTGATCATGCTGATCTATAAGCACAGAAACTCTTTTCAACTTCTAATATCCTCTACAATTTTAGATACTACTGAAATCCAGAGTTATTTTAGGCAATATTTTGAAAACTCATTCTAGTTTTCAAATTCAATATATCTGTTGAATATTTATTGGTCTATTTATTGGTAAATACAATCTTATAAAACAGTCAATAAGATATAAGCAACCTGAAGAAAACAATAATACAAGTAAATAATAATACAAGAAATAATACAAATAATACAAGAAAACAATAAAACAAGTTTGAAACTATAATAAAAATATTTCTCAATAAGAAAATCGGAGGCCCACATTAATTTGTTGCTGAATTCTACCAGACTTTTAAAGAAAATTGAATGCCAATGTTCAAGCAATCCCACAGTAGGAAAATCTATAATTGTATTAATTTGTGTCTTCTTTCCTTTTCTTTTAGTAGCTTGGCTAAAGGTCTGTCAGTCTTGTTTAACCATTCAAAGATCCAACTCCTTGTCTTTCATAGTGCTTATTAGATAACATTTCAGCTCTGATCTTAATTCTTTCTTTCCTTCTACTAATTTGGAGATTGGCTTGTTCCTGTCTTGATAAGCATCATTGTAATATTTTTTTAAGATCACTCTGATTTTTGGTGTAGAAATTTACAACTAAAAACTTACCCTTAGAACCACTTGAATCATATTCCAGAGTTTATTATATATTTGGTTATAATTTTCATTTGATTATAGGGATATTTTACTTTTTTCTAATTTCATCATTGACACCACTAATCATTCAAAAGTGTATTGTAAAATCTCAAGCTATCTTTTCTGTGTCTTTAGGTTGATTTCTGGCTATATCTTATTGTCCTATGATAAAATATAATGTTATTTCAATTTTCTTCTATTTGCTAGATTTTTTTTTGTATTCTGTTATTACCAATTTTAAGAAAGTCTCATTGGATTCTGAGAATAGTGAGTCTTGTGTGACAGAATATTCTACAACTCTAGGTGAAGTCTATTTGACCAGTAGTGTTAAAGGTGACCTATAGTGTCATTGAATCTTTGGTGGACTAGGGGGGAGGGGCCTGGTGGACCCTGGGACATACTGCTTAGAGCCTCAGCAGAATGGTTGGTGCTCCACTCTAGCTCTCTGTACTTCCACAACTTAGCTTATAATCACTTGCCTCTGTGTATTCTCACCCCAGTAGCTCGGATAACTGCTATCCCACTTGGGTTAGGGTTAGGGTTAGGGTGAAGTAACTTCTACTCCTTCTTGTGACTTGTACTAGTTTCCTACTGTACCGTGTTCTTCACATTTCTGACTGCAGCTCTACCTGCAGAGCTTATTATGCATCCCCAAAGACAGAATAACGCAGGGCACTTTAATTCTTAGGCTAACAGCTCCAATTGGAATCTTAAAACATTGCTTCCCAAGACTGCATCAAAACAGAATGTGGGGATGAGAGAACTTTCCTGGGCCCTGTGTGCTATGTGGGCTCCAGAACACCTGCCTGGAGAGACTAGAGATTCACTTGGCATTGAGTCTTGCTCTGTGTCCTCTGAGTCCCTCATGCTTTTCATCCCTATCCCCTCCCTCTGCTGCCTTAGTTCTCATCACAAAATGTCTCTTACTCTATGTCACTCTGAATTTTCAGTTTTCTTCTTTTTTAAAGGCTGTAAGATTCCATTTTTTCACAATTGAAATTCCAGTGTGTGTTCTTGACATTCTCTATAATTCTTTTTTTAATATATTTTTATTGTTAAGATACTATACAGAGGGGTTACAGTTACATGAGTAAAAAAATGAGTACATTTCCTATCGAGCATTGTTACCCCCTCCTTTGTTTTTCCCTTACCATTCCTTCCTGCCCCACCTCCTCAACTCCTCCCTCCCTCCAGCCCCCAAACTTATAAAGTTGGTTTTCAATGTAGTGTCTTGTACATTTCATTGTTACAGTGGTTCAACCTGTATCCTTATTTCTGCATTTTGTTCTTTTCCTTCCCCTTCCCAAATTAGAAAAATGTAAATACATGATCAAGGCACCAGAATAAAATACAGTAGAAACGGGTTACACCATGGGGGAAGAACATACAAAAGAAACAAAAAAAATGTACTCATTACCTTGCTCATGTAACTGTACAGTATTTTTACAATTAAAAAAATACAAAAAAAAATCACATGGTACATTAAAACAACAATGACAATGATAAAACATCTTTTTGTCCCTATCAGGGCTTATTTCGCTTAGCTTCATCTTATATGGTCATAGGTACATAGCTTTTGACTTGTTCTGCTTGTCTGGTAAGATTATCCTAGATGTATACTAGTTATTGCAAATAAGGGAAACCATGGGACCAATGTTTCTTTGGGTCTGGCTTATTTCACTTAATATAATTATTTCCAAGTCTCCACTTTCTAACAAATGGGGCCGTGTCATTTTTTCTGGTAGAAGCATAGAATTCTACTAGAGAGAGAGAGAGAGAAAGAGAGAGGGGAGAGATACATATGGATACCACATTTTCTTTTCTTTTTTGGGGGGGGGTCTGGTCGTGGGGCCTGAACTCTGGGCCTGGGCACTGTCCCTCAGCTCTTCAGCTCAAGGCTAGCGCTCTACCACTTGAGCCACAGCGCCACTTCCGGCTTTTTTTCGTTTTGCTTATGTGGTGCTGAGGAATCGAACCCAGGGCCTCATGCGTGCAAGGCAAGCTCTCTACCACTGAGCCACCTCCCCAGGCCCAATACCACATTTTCTTGATCCATTCATCTACTGAGGGGCATCTGAGTTGTCACATAGCTTAGCTATGGTTAATAATGCTGTGATAAACATAGTTGTGCTGGTAGCTTTAGTATGGCCTTGTTTGTGAACGTTTGGGTAAATGCCCAGAAGTGGGATTGCTGGGAGACCTCAGTACTTCAGTGTTAAGCGTGAGCTTACTTGTAAGCTTTGTATCCTTAAGCTGACTGGTAGTAACCACGATTTTTCCTAGAAGCATGAAGCATAGTTAAACTCAGTGAACTATGTCTAAAAGAAGATATCTGTTTGACCTAGATTATTCAGTAACCTAAGGGAAACCACATTTTGCAGATAATTTTCTTTAATGACTATTATAGATTGAAAGCTGGTATTGACTTTTGAAAAGCAATTTCTCTGTTACATGCTTCAATGTGTGCCTTCCACTATAATGTTTCACTCTTTCCTTTTTGAAGAAACTACTGCCAAATTTAAATGGTTTCAGGACAAGGTAATGGTCTTATGGCTAATATCTCTCTTTTAAATGGCATTAGACAGGCAAGAAAAATCTGTTAATGAAAAGGTAGTTAATTAGCAAAATTATAAGTGTTTAAATATAATGCAACAATTTTCCAAATAGGTAATAACTGTAATAATATGGTCAGTCATAACAATAAACAAAGTAAATGATTTTTAACTCAGTTAAAATTCCTATCTCTATCTCATTCTTTTGTCTTTGTCTGTCTGTCTTTCTTTCTCTCTCTCAACTTATAAAGCTAAAAGAAACGTGTAATTGACAAATGAGATCTTCAAACCAAAGTAAACACTAGGATGTACTTTGAATCAACCATTAATAGATTATATATATTTGGACATAAAATGGTTATTTCTATTACTCATATTTTATTGATATAACTGTTTCATAAAGTCAACACATTAGTTTCACATACTATGCAACAAGTAAGTCTCAGCATTTCTATTGACATATTGAACTGAATCTTGAGAAAAGAAGAAAATAAAATAGAGAAATTCAGAAGCTTAGCCTTGGGCTTACTTAACATTTTTCTCATGTAGCATTAAAATACTTATCAATATAATTACCTAGCCAAAGGTTAGATAATAAAAAGGTTAAATAAATATGTATATATTTTAAGCATCACATTGTGTTGTATAAATCATTTTTTTTAAATTCTCAGCTAAAGAAATGATATATTTCATCTGACTGATGGTCATAATTTCCATAAATAAATAAATAAATGTGTTTATCCTTCTTTCATTTAAACATAGATTCCCGCATGAATATGTATCTATCTTTATATGCTTTATTTCTGCCCGTGAAGCTAAAATTCTGACCTTGGCTCTATGTAAGTAGCAAATAAGAAAGACACAAACCCTGCCCATGATTGTACAGTTTGGCTTCAAATTAAGTCATTCCAAACATCCTTTACAGATTATTAAACACTTTACATGTATGTGTTATTAATATTTATTTTCTATTTTATTTTAATACAAGTTTATATTCAAAACCACAAATGTAGAATCAGCTTCCAAAATGCGAAGTTAACTGTAACCACACAAAGAACAAGACTCTTATTCTCTACTGGACATAAATTCCCATTATTGGTGGGAATATAAATTAGTCAACCCACTGGAAATTGGGTTGGAGGTTCCTACATAAACTTAAAATATATCTACCAGATGATTCCATTACACATTCCTGGTGATATACCTGTAGGAATATAAGTAAATATACTTGTGCACCTATGTTTATAGCAATACTGTTCACAATAGCTAAGGTAAGTGCTAAGTTATCAGGGAATGAATAAATAAATGTGTTATATGATGTATGTTTCATATTGTGTGTTTGTGTGTGTGTGTAAGATGAAGTAGTAATTTGTGCCATAAAGAAGAATAAAATTATGTCTTTTACAGGAAAATATTGGGAACTGGAGATTATTATATTAAGCAAAAAAAGCCATACTCAGGGATGGGAAAGTGGCTTAGTGGTAGAGTGTTTGCTTAGCATGCATGAAGTCCTGGGTTTGATTCTCTTGTACCACATAAACAGAAAAAGCTGGAAATGGTGCTGTGGCTCAAATGTTAGAGTGCTAGCCTTGAGCAAAATTGCATAGGGACAGCGCCCAGGCCCTGAGTTCAAGCCCCGAATTGGCAAGAAAATAATAATAAGCCATACTCAGAGAAATATTACATTTTTTCTTTCATATGCATAACACAGGCTTCATTTTAATCTCTTCAATGTTAAAGAGGGGCTGCTTTGGGTATCCAATGAGAATGGGATAACAGAATGATAGAGTGGTGAATATCATCAAAGTATAGCGTGATGAAACCCATTAAAATTATAAAACAAAAGAAAAAAAAAAAGAAAAGCCAGTGCTAATAACTAACATCCATAAGACCAGCTATTTGTGAGACAGACATCAGGAAGGTCATGGTTCAAGGCTGTCAGGCTTGGGAAAAGCCAGATTTCATGCATGCATCTAATCCCAACTGTGTGGAAAGATTGTGGTCCCAGGATATCTCAAGAAAATGAGAGCCCTTATTTTTTCAAATGGCTTAAAACAACAAGTAATGGGTCAAAGGGAGTCATAAGAGAATAGTAAAGGGCATGAATGTGATCAAAGAGCATTATATACCTATGTGGAAATGTCACGGTATAATCCCTACATATAATTAATATATACTAATAACACTTTTGGGCCATCCAGTTGGCTTAGAAGATCTCTTTCCTTTTGGAATATAATACCCAAAGTCTGCTGTTTTGTCTGTGTTATTTCTAAGATCATCTTTCCTGTCTTTTCTTTTCATATGACTAGAAAGGCCATAGTTGATATTACATTGTAGATCAGAGATTGAATCAAATAAACATGTCCACCATCACTACTACACAGTCCCTACGGAAGTTATCTTACATGTAGACTAGATTGTAGGATTCAAATTGAAAGAAAATGATCTTGAAAAGACAGACAGATGGAAAAAAGAAAGAAAGAAAGGGAAGGAAGGAAGGTAGGAAAGAAGGAAGAGGAAAGAAAATGAATCGGAACCTGCCAACATTCAAGCAAACTTTTTCTTTTGACATGTTAAGCTCACAGGTCAATAAAGAACCCCAGTCTTTTCAAAAGTAGGGTCTGTTTAATGTGACAGTATGATGCCATATTTCTTCTATGAATTAGAGGTGTACTCTACAACTAGCAGTCATTTTAAAGTATCAATATCCCTAGTTTTTGGTTCCATATTGAGTATGTTCCACTTTGATAAGCTCATTTGTGTCATTTCTTTCTACTATAGGTGCTCCTGTTTCAAGATCAGAATTATGGTCTTCATTATGAATATACCATCCCATCAGAACCCATTCCAGACAATCAGAGCTCAAGAGCATCTGAGCCCCTCTTCCTGTGGACACACACCGGCTGGGAAGATTGTGATGTCACATGTGGAGGAGGTGAGATCTTTAATACTGTTTGTCTAATGCAATAATTCTTTTCTGATTCACCATGGATAATCAAGACATATCCAAAACCTCTAAATTGTAATTCCAAAAATCACAAAAGTTTGGAAACAGAAAGCTTTCTTGAGGACATAATCATGAGCTAGTCACATAAACAACTTTGTAATGAAACCTGACTTGAACCACAGAAAGCTACTTACTAGTCTTTCCATGTGCCACTGAATGTAATTCCTCTCTCCAGACACCCAGAATGTAATTCCTCTCTCCAGACACCCAGAATGTAATTCCTCTCTCAAGACAGTTTACACCTGTAAACTCAGCCACTCAAGAGGCTGAAATCTGAGGATCTCAGTTCAAAACCAGCCACTAGATTTTATCTCCAATTAACCGCCAAAAAGCAAGAAATGGAGCTCAAGTGAAAGAGCACCAACTGAGGGGAAAAGCTAAGCTCCTAGGTCCTAAGATCAGGCCCCAGTACTTGCACACAGAAAAGAATCACTGTTTATTTTATTGCATATATAATAAGGTATTTATCTACAATATACTAGGCTTTATTTAATATATGTGAGCTCTGTTGTGCCCATAAAATCTTAAAAGTGTAAATCCTGAAATGTGTATGTCACAACAACTATTGAAAAACCTGGAAAGGCTGTAAGATTCCATCTCCAATTAACCAGAGAAAAGGAGGGCTACAATATGGCTGAAGTAGTAGAGCTCCTTCTAACAAGCAAGCTCTGAGTTTAAACCCCAGTACCACCAAAAGAGGAAAGAAGGGAGAGAAATACAAAATTTGTATCAAAGTTGGTTAAATACTTGAGAAAAATAAGCAAGGAGGGAATATAAATGGGGAAGTGGAAGGATGCTGCAAAGATAAGAGGGAGTTGGTGGTGATTGCTAAAAAACAGTTATCAGGAAAGTTCTCAGGGAAAGTCACATTGAATACAAACTTTGAAGTGACTCTAAGTGATCACCAGGGTTATTTGGGGCTCAAGATTTGTGTGTGGGGTACTGTTAGAGTAGAGCTGACATGGTCTAGGTGATGTGAGATATGAAGAAAAATCTGACTGTAGAGACCTATTCTAGCTGTTATTCCTTGTGTTTCTGAACTGAGAGTAGAGGTAGAGGCATCAGTCAAGGGTACACTGACATGATCAGGATAGGATGGGATGGGAGCTGCACCACTGTGGCAGCAGGAGGAGGAGACATGGCCACAACCTGAACAACTCAAAAGAACTTGTTGATGCTGAAGTATGACAAATTCTACAGCTTAAATTTTATAGCTTGGGAACAGAGCTAACAGACGATGTTGATGATCTTGATGTGGAACTATGTGAGCCATAGGAGGACTGCCATCATTTTACTAAAAGGAAGGGTGAAGTCAATATGGTCTTGCACAGGGAAATGTGTGACACCACAGGGTTAGGAAGGATTTTTATCCAGTGAGTGACTAACTATATAAGCCTGGTGTTCAGAAAACAAGGAAAGAAGGGAAATGTGGCTGTGGTAGAAGGGCTGTGCAAGGGCTGGGAAGGTGGCTCCAGTGGTAGAGTGATTGCCTTGCATGCATGAGGCCCTGGGTTCAATTCCTCAGCACTGCATAAGCAAAAAGTAAAAAAAGCCAGAAGTGGTGCTGTGGCTCAAATGGTGGAGCGCTAGCCTTGAGCTGAAGAGCTGAGGGACAGCGCCCAGGCCCAGAGTTCAGGCCCCACGACCGGACCCCAGAAAAAAAAAAGGGCTATGCAACTCTAAAGAGATTGTTGATGGGTTGAATAAAACAAAATATAGGTCACTGTTTGTCAATGTGTATTTTCTAGAGTAGAATAGAAAATGAGTACTCCAAAGGAGAAAGCAACGACTTGGTAGAACAATATGCATAGGGGAGGGAATGGAATTGGGAAACTGGCTTTGGACAAAAATATAAACAGTCCATCACTAGTCTAAGGAGAAAGATGGGGTTCTTATAGTGATACTCTGCCGATTGTGAATCTTCTTCCCGCAAAGGCTGTCTATATGAGAGTGAGGAGACACTCTGGTTTTGATCAGCGAGCATGTGGATTGGTTACTTAGAGTAAGAAAATGAATTTAATAGAACCATGTGTTTTATTGTGGTAGCTTAAAAACAAGTGTCATTAATTTAGTCTAACTCCAGTCTTCATGGTGTGTTATAATCTGGCTGATGCTCTTGCAGATAAAGACTGGGAATTGCCAGAGTGTGATGAAATAAGAGAGGAGTGGTTAGTTGACTCTGGTTGTATGGAATAAGTTGGGAATGGTGGGCCACAGTATTGTAGTCATATCTGCAGTACACTGTCCACAGTGGCAGTAGGCTACAGAAAAAGACATGATAGAAAAGCTATAGTTCATTTTACCATAGAGAAAGTAATTAGTAACATCTATTTACATTTTAGAACATGAGCAAGAAATATTTGTCAAGTAGGTTATATTACTCTTTTTGTTTTCTCTTTCTTTACTTGTAGTCTAATAAAAGTTGCATCAAAATTAGTTAAATATGAATAATTTGTCAGCTCTCAAGTTAAGAAAGTAAATCATTTCAAGTTAAATTTTCCCCACTGTTTGTATTAGTTCAATTTCTAAATCTTAAAGAATAAAGATTCCCTACAAATTATCTTAGGTTCAGAGTCAGAAGGAAAATTATACATTCTTAAGCATGATCTATGAATCAACATAAGAAAACTGAAGTACATAGAGTTTGAGGACTTACCAAAGTCACATGCTCATGTGAGATGGAGCCAGAATTAAAACCCACAATTTACCAGCCCAAGGCTTCTTTCCTTCTTGTAGTGCCACCAAGAGCAGTTAGCAGGCTTCCTGAAGCTTGCTGTCAGGAAAGAGCACAGTCCCAAGACATCACTTAGATTTTCTTTGGGTTCAAAGAGATGTTCTATTTCATTCTGTTAAATAAGAATTTAGATGTCTCCTTTAGTTTTCAAATGGCTGATTTTTTAATATACCCATAATTATATGCAACTCATATATGGTTTATGTTTGCTATCCCTCTGAACTATATTCCTCTGTGTTGAATCAACAGTTTTCAATTATCTCTACCCATGTTAACAGGGCATATGTGTATTTCAGTGCCAGGGTGTTTCTGGGCTTGTAGACCTTATTTCTTTTTCAGTTCAGTAAATAAAGTGAATGAACAGGACTTCAAAGATAGCATCATTTCTAACTTCATATAATTGATTTTAGATCCAGAATAAACTTTGTGTCTTTCAGTTTATTCATGAGTTAAATGAGACTGTTCAAAGCACAGAACATTGGAAACAGATTTGTGCAAAAATGTATCTTCAACAGAAGAGAGGAATAATAATAACAGCATTATTTCTCTTCACAGAAACATATTAAGAGCAATTATGGTAACACAGGGAAGTTTAAAACTTCAGTGTTTGGCACAATTTTTCTAATTCTGGTGCAAAGAACTAGAACAGTAATAGGTGAGGAAAAGAAATGAAAAATTACCTAGTTGGTCTAGCTAGATTTTTATTTTTAATGGTCTTTTACATCTTCAAGCTGGCAGCAGCTTGAACTCTAGGCCTTGTGACCTGGCTTTTTTATTCTAGGCTGGTACTCTAGTACTTGAGCCACTGCTCCACTTCTGGCTTTTGGTGGTTAGGTTTCCCTTATTTGTAAGAACTAGAATATATCTATGATATTCTTAACAAAGATCTCAACAACCCAATTTTAGTGCATAGGACCATATATAATGAAGTGTATCAATATGAACTCCAAGATAGGGAAACAAGAGGTTCTTATTATATCCTGTACATAGTTGGTATTTTTTTCTTTCATTTCTCTTAGTTTTCAGTACCTTGTGTCTTGTATATATGAATATTTGATCAGGGGAAGGGAAAGGGAATCACAGAAACAGCAGATCAAAGGATGAACTAATTCAACAATGATACTCACCTTACAATTTGGGGAGGAGGGGAGGAGGAAGGGGTACATGGGAGAAAATGAAGGATGGGGTAACAGTGTTTAAAAACAAATGTAATCATTACCTTACTTATATAACTGTAACCCTCCTGCTAATCACATTTTTAATAAAGTATTTTTGTCTCTTCAAAAGGATATTTATTAATGAATCTTAGTTGGATGAATATGTAACATAGCAAGAATACTATACAGGCTAATTAGGAGGGACCGAGTTTTGAGTTACTTCATTTTCTTAGTTTGCTCCTTTTTCTTAATCTTTATTTTTCCTTTTGCCATTTTTCTACATTGTTGTGCCCATAGCTATGTGACTAAAATGATAGAATCTCAGGCCAAAAGGCCCTGATTGAATTCTATCTCTAACATATAGGCAGTGAAAACTTTTTTAAATTAAATATATATTTTTAATTGTAAAGATATAGAAGGGTTACAGTTACATGAGTAAGGTAATTTGAGTACATTTCCTATTGAGCATTGTTACCCTCTCCTTTGTTTTTCCCCACCATCCCTTCCTGCCCCACCTCCTCAACTCCTCCCTCCCTCACCCCACCTGTTCGTTTTCAACATAGTGTCTTGTACATCTCATTGCTGCAATGGGTCAACCTATATCCTTCTTTCAGCATTTTGCATGGGTTGGTTTCAAACTGTCTCGAACCTCAGCTCTCACTAGGATAATTACCATTTGAGCTCAAACTTTTTTTATTTTATTATTTTATATTTTTGGGTCCAGTTGTGGGGCCTGAACTCTGAGCCTGGGCTCTGTCCCTCAGCTCTTCAGCTCAAGGCTAGCGCTCTACCACTTGGGCCACAGCGCCACTTCCAGCTTTTTTCTTTTTGCATATGTGGTGCTGAGGAATCGAACCCAGGGCCTCATGCATGCAAGGCAAGCACTCTACCACTGAGCCACCTTCCCAGCCCCTGAGCTCAAACTTTTTAAAAATATAACTCAAACTGAATTTAGTTTACTCTTTGCATTTGCATTGACTTGTTAATGTCAGCGCTTATAGGATATGAAAAGCCTAAGCATGGAAAATTCTCTCCTT